AAACATCATACATATGCCTAAATTTTTTAAATATTTTTTTGTTTTTTACTTTTTTATATTTTATGACTCTAACATTATATATATTTCAGATCAAATAAAATTTATGACTCTAACATAATATTTATATTTTAGATCAAATAAAATTTTCTTTTATATTACACGATTTTTCAAAATAACATTTTCAGAAAAAAATTATGATTTACAAATCATTCATTTAAAGTAGTGTTACAATAATTTTCATTAGTGCTGTTAAATAATATACTAATATGCATACTGATTCTCTTCGAATCGTATCATTTACTCTAAGTAAATTTCGATTTTCTAAATAATGTTCATTTAACCTGTAACAAAAACAATTTTGGTTAAACAATTTCCTATTGTACCATCACTTAATACTAAAATTTTTTTAACTATATCCACAGCACAAGAATAGTTAAAACCATTTTCTAGTCTAGTAAAAACTTCTGCATTAAAAGATAAAAAGTTACGAAACTTTCCTTTATTATTTTCAGAGTAGAGAATTTTCTTGTTAAAGGGAAAATAAAACTTTGCAACATTGCAAATACTTACTTGTTATTATTAAAAGTGTTTATTGTCATGCTAAAGGATGCATGTTCATTATAGGCATTCAGTAAAGGTTGACGATTCTCACTATCGAATATCGTAAAATATTGTTGCAAAAATTGACTTGCAATTTCTTTAGCTTTTGCATCTTGGACAAACATCCTTTGCGACGAAGGAATTATAGCAGGTTCATCCATCATATCGAAAACAATCGGTCGTGGTAGTTCCGTGCCATCCTGCAAATAATACGAACAGCAAAATAAGATCATATGTTACATAAAAAAAAATACAATTTAAAAAATGTAAAACTGTGCGTGATATTCTTACCAGACGCAGTAATCTTGAGAATCGTCTTCGAACATCGCTACAATTGAAAAGAAAAAGACCGGATCGTCTATATAATAAAAAATGTTTTAAAAAATACACAGATTTATCAAATAATATAAGGAAGAATACGAATTGTTCACTTCAAATTTAAAAATTATACCTGCAGTTTTATAAAAATTCACAAAATTTAAAAATACATTACATCTTTAAATAGAACATTACTGTTATGTATATAACATTAAATATATATATGGCAATATAACATTATATGATTCTAAATATAAATTTCTTACAACATTAAAGACGTGATCTGGCCGTATCGACCTTCTTTTTCCAAGTCGTTACTGTTTGTGCTAAATGTGCTATATGTTTGTGCTGTATGTGCTATATGTGCTATGTTGTTTCGCATAATTTCTATTATGTATTCACATACTTGTTCATTATATATATTTTATTATAAATATACCTTATTTATTTATAAATGTTTTTTATTACTTTTTCACACATTCCATAGTACAAATAGTAAAAATACCCTCTACAATTAAATGTAGAAACATACATTTGCCAGATAATTATTACTATTAATTTTGTTTAAAATTTCTACAATTTGTAGCAATCGATATTTTATTTTACTACAATAGTTTTACATTATAAGTTCTTTGCAGAAGTTCGTTCTACATGTTGGAATAAATGCTCTACAAAAATATTTATAAATCCGCAGATTGTGTTAAATATTGCTATACATTGTTATTATAGTTTACATATGTTTCTGTAAATACTTATTACAACTTATTACGCGAAGTTCTATTAAATGTGATAAATTTTTAAATTAATCGTTACTATATTTTCACAATAAATGCAATAAATTACAACAAATTTATTTAAAACTACTACACCTTTTAGATTTTGTTAGTAGTGCATATTTTATAGCCTTAAGCAGTTTGTCAATTAATTTGAGGCAAGATTCTTGGAACAATTTTTTAGACTCATTTATTACAAATTATCTCTGTCCCTATTTGTACTATTATTTGTAGAAGAGCATTCTCCAATTGTACTATCTGGTGCTATATTTTTTACTAAGTGCAGCAGCCAAATCATCGGCTCTCGAACGCGTCGTCACCGATATCTCCTAAGAGAAAAATATCGTTATCACGAAAGATAGCGCAAAATTAATTTAACTCTTGTGTGCGCACCACGGTACATTTTTGCATGTAAGTGGATTGAAAATTAAAATTTCGCTTGGGACGTCCCGATCGTCGTTATTTAACTCAATTTTAGTAAGCAAGTGATGCAGTTAGAAATTTTTAAGAATTTTTTTGTAAGGAAGGAACTCTATTTCAAAACCAACAGCTAACGAACAGCTGACGTCCTTAGTGACCGCGAGCTACCTGCTAATGATGCAGTTAGAAATTTTTAAGAATTTTTTTGTAAGGAAGGGACTCTATTTCAAAACCAACAGCTAACGAACAGCTGACGTCCTTAGTGACCGCGAGCTACCTGCTCTGACATCGAAAACTGGCTTTCTTCTACCCTTGAACGAGCTGCAATTTATTTTCAAATGCTTCGGGCACTTATTTTTTATGTTTATTTATTGAAATAAACGTTAAGGAAATTGCATTTCAATTGCATAAATATTTAAAAAATTGAAAAAATTAGAGGTGGGTGCGTAACAACGCCCGTGTGGAAATTTCCCCATCTTTTCCCTACTTATTATTGGATCCCGATGAGATTTCCCCAAAAAAGGAAAACTAGAAGGATTTCAATCTGTTTTTCTAACATAGAACCTAGTTTTAATGAATTATTAGAGAAATATAAGATCTTCTGATTAGTTCCTAGTTAGGAAATCAGGCGTTTGCACCAATAGCAGATATCTGGGTTAGTCAATTCGGTTCCCAATTGGGAATTCCTAGGTCCGTGCTTGGCGCTGCAGTCGCCAAGAAAATCGGGGAAAGGTAAGAAGCACGCACAGGAATCTTAAGTGTAAAGAGGTGTAATATCTAATTTGCACAAATAATAAGATATAACCTAAAAATAAATATATTTTCCCATATTCACATCGATTTATGTGTTATGTATTAAATCTAAATAATTTTCTTATTAAATACTGTTTCGACATTAGTGATTAAAATGTATAGTGAGAAAGAAAGAAGAAAAGCACGAGAACGGAAAAGAATATATAGACAAGTTCAAAAAGAAGTACAACAGGAAATTCAGCAAGCAAATGCAGAGAGTAAGTAAATATATACATATATAATTATATATAATTCAACAATTTAATGAGACTGGACAAACTATGAATATAAAACTGATGACTACAATGAGTCGATAGTCTTAAATCTTGTTTGTTAACCGGTGAAGTTGGCCAACAGCGAGATACTTTTTGTGTCTGAAAATGAACTCAGAATTAATGACATACGATTAAAATCTTTTTAAATTCGTTTTGAACTCTCTGTGCTATCTGGGTATATAATATATTATGACATTAAAAATATATGTATTTATTTATATAGCATTTATGATATATAATAAAAAATCACGAATTTATAAAATAATATACGTAATAAGGCTCTCTATATGTATAATACCATATAAATATGAAGAGAATATCCAAGGAGAACGAAACAATCAAAATAATGTCAATATGACATCAAATTGATATTATTTTGATTGTTTCGTTCTCCTTGGGCAAAGAGCCAAGTAAATTTAACGAACTATTTAATTTAAACAATCATACAAACGCGTTTCGATTCCGATCGGTTCATTTTTAATGTTACAAAAGATAAGAAGTATTATAAATTAAAATAACAATTGCGCAATACATTCTTCATATAACTATGCATACGTTAGGTATAAATATTCTCAAATGTTGGTGTCATAAGCATAATTAATCCTTGTCAAAAATAAAAGAAAAAGAAGTAACACGTCTATGAATAAAACTCTTCTAAATCATAACAGTATAAAGTATAATTAAAAATTGAGTAAATTAAATTGCAGCTACCAAAAAGTATTCTTTTTATAATAGAATAATATCCACTGTATTTGTAACAAAACAATTATATTATTAACAATTATATTATGTACAATTATCTACATATATGCATATTATAGAAAATTATAATAAATCTAAAAAAATCTTAAATATAATCGAAGTGAACAAAATTTATTAATGTGAATGAAATATTGGTTTAGTTTTAGAAATAGACAGCAATAGTAATGCTAGATATGCTGGCCATCAAATTGAAGGGGAAGAAGTAGGAGAATGCTCACATCATAATGATAACGTTTTTATTGAAAATATCTATACTGAGTCCTTTGATGATGATATGCCAACAAATAAAACTACGAAAGATGCATCAGAAAATCTTAATTTTGGAAAAGGTTTATGTTTGAGAATTACAAAAAAAAATATAAAAAATGTTCTATATAGATTTTTGAGTTTTTACACGCAGAAAAATGTATACAGTAATTATTTATTTTAAAGATATTTCGAAAATATATCTGGCAAGCGTTAAATTTATTCAAAATGTATTCCGAATCCTAATAAGTTTAATATTTCAATAAGTTTAAGATTCTTAAATTAAAACAAATTTGATTTGCTTGTTATGTAAAGTAGCTTCTTCGATCAATTTTATAATATTCTTCAAAAGAAAATAAATTCTTGTTTTGAATACACATGAATGAATTCTTGTTAATGAATTGTTTTAAAATTCGCGAGAAGTATATTTTAAGATTATCAAGAAAATATCCTTTGTTAAACGTTACTAAAAGAAAGTAAATTGAGTAATCATTTTTTTTAGCAATATAATATTTTTCTGTGTGTACAATAATATTTATATCTGAAAAAAATCATATAAAAATGAAAAGTTCAAGCCATGTTCAAAAAAGGATACTCAAAAATTTAAACCTTTTTATCTAATAATAATAATAATATATTATCACGCGCGAAAAGTAACTGATATATTATTAATTAAAGGTGCCAGTTCAAAGTGAACATACATAA